TGAAGCAAACACTTGAGGACTGTTAATAAATAATGTCCAAATGTTAAGGTTTGAGTATTTTACCTTCTCTGGAGTCAGCCTGAAGAGACAAAGTCTAGGAATGCAGCAGACCAAACAACATTGGCAGTTTAAAAAGGTTTTTTTCCTCTCAAGAGAGGGAGGAGTTATTTGGGTTAGCGAATCAGAAATACAAGCACCTGGTTCTGGGAGCTGAAGAAGTTAGGCCTGCCTATATTATCATCAGGGGATACTAAATCTTTAGGCAAGACAGATGTTTGTATTCTGTTTATTATTTTACATTTCTTTCCTCCTAAATATTTTGTTCCTACTGTTAAAATAAAGAATACTTTGGTTATATAATGGCTTTTTTGTAACTGTGAATCGCTGGCTATAGGCTCTGAAAGGGAAGAACTACAGATGTCTGAACTCAGCTGGACTAGCTGGATAAACATGGTTGATACACTGGCTAAGTGTACATTGCCCACTAAACTCAAGCTGTCAGTTGAGCCCAACCCCCCTCTTCTGTACACACACAAAAATAAGATCAGAATTTTACTGTCACTTGGACTCAAGCTCTGTTAATTCGCATGTGGAGGTAGGTCAAGCTGCAGACCCACGTCAGAATGTCTGCATAATTATTAATTATTATTAATTATTATTTCCCTTCACTCCCTGGTGAAGAGGGAACAGCCACATGCAGTGCAGCATAGATGCTATATCACAGACTTGAAAACACCATTTCCACATGCCTGTGTCTCTCAGATCCACAGTTCAGAATCAGAAAGGCTTCATGGTTTATTGCCAAAATCATATGATGTGGGTAAAATAATTTGCATTTTATTGCTCTATTTTTGGTCAAGGATTACATCATACGGAAGATTTCCTTTAGTTTCTTTTTGTTTGTATCTATATTATACTTTTCTTTGCATGTTTCCTGGTGTGCCAAACACTGAGCATAAGTGTTTGAAACAAAGCACATATGTGTGTACCATATGACTGGATAAAGATTTATAAATGCTAGTTGTTCTTTAGGAAAACAAATGGTACATTGATTATCTACGATAGAGGAGATTATACTAGCTTCTGTTATATATACTTACATTGAATCATGGATTAGTGAGTGAGGTTAGGAGAGAATCAGAAATATTTCTTAGTTTTCCTATTTTTTAGAAATCTTGCAGCTCCTACTTTGAAAGAAATATTGCCAATTCTTTACAAGACCAATTCTCCTTTGAGCTTGATGTTTCTGTATTTCTTAACAAGACTAGAATGGTATGAAAATCCCATGTGAAAAGTACTTAAATCATATCTGACCCCCTCCCACTGAGCACATTTTCTGATGGAGTTGTCCGATGCATCAATAACTATTCTACAAACACTCAGAAGCATACAAACATTTATCTTGTGATGTACTAAATACTTGGAGAAAACGTCCTCCCAGGATATGATTGGTGGGAAAAAGTAGAAAGAAGAATCTGTTATTGAGGACTATGGTTGGAAAGATTACTGTCTTTAGAGGTCACAGTATTTTGGTGCCTCTGTGGGTCCCATTTCACTCTCATCTACTGCATATTTGCTGTATGCACTATCTATTTTCTTTCCAGACAAACTTTACCTTGATTCCACTGGAAAAGGCTCATAAAGAAACTTTTTGTAGAAGTCTTTCTTAATATCATGGACTAAAATCACAGCTTTGCCTTGGTCATCAAACTGTGGTCTACCAGCACGTCCCATCATCTGAAGTACATCTACAAAACGAACAACACATAGATTTATTTAAATATAATTTACAGTAGATATATTGTTTTTCTATAACCTCATTTACCCGTCTTTGTTACTCCCACTGGCTAAATCTTGTCTAAAATCAGACTGAAAATTCTTTGTGGCAAAGACTTTATTTCTAAACGTCTGAACTGCAACTCTCATAATGCAACAACTACAGACTTCTATCACTGAAGCGTCAGGCCTACCTAGATTAGCTGGCAGTGGCAGCAGGCTGTTTCACCAGAATAGGGGGGTTAGTAACCCATACTGAGTGACAATAGATCGTTCTTACAGGAGAGCCTAGTTGAATGCTCACTCTCTCACGGTCCCCATCCAGTTGGAGGAGTACCTGACATCATGCTGGGAAATGGAACACTGGGCACATATGCTAGTTTGGAAGGACAAAGAGGCTATCAAGAAAGCACATTCTGGCTTCTACTATTCTGTATGCTTCTACTATAGTGTGTCTAGTAGTGCCCCACATAACCAGTGCAATGTATTCTACTCTTTCTGGTGCTTTGGTGCTGGCAAGTGGTGAGGACTTTAGAACATTCAGTAATTTTATGAGGCTGCCAAAAATATTCTGAGGAATGCAAGTGAAAGAAGGGACACTGTGATTTTTAACACTTTACAGCTCAATCAGATCTGAATGGAATTTCCCAGAAAAAGAAAAGGCCACTTGTATTATCTGAAGATTATCAAACAACTGCAAACAACAGAGATGTTGTTTTCTCAAGGAAAGATCTTTTCTCAAGGAAAAGATCACAAGAACACTTCATAATGGAAAGTTTTAGGTAAACTAAATACAGGCAGTCCCCGGGTTACGTACAAGATAGGGACTGTAGGTTTGTTCTTAAGTTGAATCTGTATGTAAGTCGGAACTGGCGTCCAGATTCAGCCGCTGCTGAAACTGACCGCCAGTTCTGACTTACATACAGATTCAACTTAAGAACCCCAAGTCAGCTGGTGCTGAAACTGATCAGCAGCTGATTCCAGGAAGCCCGGGGCAGCGCAACTGTGCCTTGGGCTTCCTGTAGTCAGCGCCGATCAGTTTCAGCAACGGCTGACTTGGGGACGTCTGGGCAGAGCAGCTGGGGTGCTGCTGGGTTGCTCCAGTAGCACCGCTCCTCGGCGCTACTGGACCAACCCAGCAGCACCCCAGCTGCTCTGCCCCAGGAGTCCTGATTCAGCCGCTGCTGAAACTGACCGCCAGTTCTGACTTACATACAGATTCAACTTAAGAACCCCAAGTCAGCTGGTGCTGAAACTGATCAGCAGCTGATTCCAGGAAGCCCGGGGCAGCGCAACTGTGCCTTGGGCTTCCTGTAGTCAGCGCCGATCAGTTTCAGCAACGGCTGACTTGGGGACGTCTGGGCAGAGCAGCTGGGGTGCTGCTGGGTTGCTCCAGTAGCACCGCTCCTCGGCGCTACTGGACCAACCCAGCAGCACCCCAGCTGCTCTGCCCCAGGGTCCACAACAAAAGCCTGGTCTGCTGGGGAGGAGGCCACACTAGCTGCGCCCCCCCCAGCAGACCAGGGACACAGGGAGCAAAGCGGCAGCGGGGGGGTGCCTCGCCTCTGAGGCTTTGCTCTGGCAAAGCCTCAGAAGCGCGGGAACCCGCCACTGCTGCGGGTTTGCTCCCGATGCCCCTGGTCTGCTGGATACGGTCCCCAGCAGACGAGGGGCACCGGGAGCAGCTTTTCTCGCCCCGGAGCTCGAGGTGGCTGACCGCTGCCTGTGAGCTCCGGGGCGAGAAATCCCCGTTCGTAAGTGCGGATCCGACATAAGTCGGATCCGCGTAAGTCGGGGCTGCCTGTATAGGGCTCGCAATCCCTCTATGATAAGAATTCAAGCAGGATAGAGTAACATTCAAACGAAAAGACCAAAATCCTTTCTTAAATACCACTTTTGTAGTGATGTCTATAAAACATATGATCAGAAGCGTGGTGGCCCGGCACCCAGTTGTGACTACTCTGAGTACGAAAGTTACTAAATTATACAAACACACCTGTCTTTGTTGTTACCTGGTCCCCCACCCTATCTCACTCAGTAGGCCTCTTCATGTCTGAGTCTGTTGTGCCTGGTTACTAGCTATGATTGTGAGTTCTCACAAGCAGGCACTGTTTTTTTTTGTTGGGTTGTATTTCATCACACCCATGAATGCTATAAGTGAAACCTGAAAATAATTTTCATGCATGAGTTACTGTTTACCTTTTAACTTTTTCATGTTTTCTGTTCTGTATTTTCTATGAACTATATAAACAACAATAATCTTGATGCAGTTTGTTCATTGTTAAACTAAAACTGATGTTCAACTGTAAAAGTAATGGATCCCAAATGGTATTCATGAATAGATGCATACAAGGAAGAATGATGAAATATTTCCTGCTATTTGAATATAGTGCATTAAAATAGTGTACGATAATGCATATGAAATGGATTTACCAAAAGGCATCAGGAAATGATTTTTGCCAACATCCACTGTATAGCTAGCCAAAACCAACATTTTCTTTTCTGACTATACACTGCCTGAACTGTTCTTAACTACTGGATTTAACTACTGAAACGTCAAATACAAGACTCAGCCAGTTGGCGTGAATCAGAGATTGGCCCACCCCAAACCCTCTGATTTGCATTCTCCCCAACCATACTTAAATTCAAACGTGAACTTAAAGACGTAGGCTGTGCTATTATTTTCAAACTACTGGCCTTTGTGCAAATATTTGAGAGACCTCATTCTGCCCTCAATTGTACAGTAGTCACCAAATTCAGCCCTAGTACAGGCAAGGAATTTTAATGGAGATGAACCAGTTTATACCACATCTGAATTTGTGCTGTGCTCCTAAGATATTTTGAATAGAAATTATACAGGCATACTTGAGGGCAGAACTGAAAGTGAAACAGAAGTTTTGGTCTACACTACAAAGTTTTGCTGGCATACTATTATGGTTAGGAGTGTGGACACAGGCAACATAGCTCATGGTGTAGATGCAGCTATGCCAGGAGTGGGCAAGATACAGTTGGCAGGCCAGGTTCAGCTGCCAAGCCATCTGATTCAGCCCATGGCCCATCTCTGCCACCAGGCCAATCGGGACTAGTTGGCGGGGAGTGTGCAGCGTCTCCTCACCAGGGGCGCGAAGCACCAGAGAGAACTACTTCCTCTCCCACCTCTCCTCATCGCATGCTGTGCCTAAAGGGAATCGCCCCTTCTACCTAGGCCCACACCTTCAACCTGATGCTCCATCCCTTCTTGGGATCCGGCCCGGGAATCATTACCAAATTTTGTGAAGTGCCCCCCTACAAAATTTATTGCCAACCCCTGAGCTATGCAGACAGAAGAATGATTTGTCAGCATAGGTAATAAGAGTATGCCTACAATGCAAAGAAAAAATCCACTGTGCCAAATCTCAGAATCAAGGTCAACTAATTTGGGCTGATGGGGATTGGGCTGTGGGGCTAAAAATAGTAGTGCAGTCATCTGGGCTCTGAAACCTAGTAAGGTGGGAGGGTCTTAGAAACCTGGCTCCAACCTGATCCTACACTGTTATTTTCAGCCCTGCAGCCTGATCCCCATGAGCCTGAATCAATAGATATGGGTTCTGAGACTCAGTGATGCAAGTTTTTCTTTGCAGTATAAACCTACCCTGTTTGAAGGCAAAACCAGGGATGTACAATAATTTGTGTTAATGACACAAAGAACACTCTGCTCATCAAACTGCTGATCCTTAAAACTAATCTCCTTTTCCCCATGACTCTCAAATACCATCACTCTATTTTATAGAAAGTTAAAACTGCAACTACAGCAAACTAGACCACATGAAAACATAATTCAATCCATTTACAACTAGCCATTTCCCCTTCCACATGTATTTGAATTTTCTGTTAAATTACAGAAAGCAAAATTAAATCTATGAAAACGGGGAAAACGCTATTATACAAAATGTGTCATTTCCCTTTGAAAATGCTTTCAAGAATCAACAGGCCCACAATACCCAAAGCTTATTTGAGAATCCACACATAAGTAGGGGTATATCTATACTACCACCCTAGTTCGAACTAGGGTGGTAATGTAGGCAATCGGAGTTGCAAATGAAGCCCGGGATTTGAATTTCCCGGGCTTCATTCGCATCTTGCCGGGCGCCGCCATTTTTAAATGTCCGCTAGTGCGGACTCTGTGCCGCGCAGCTACACGCGGCACGGACTAGGTAGTTCGGACTAGGCTTCCTACTCCGAACTACTGTTACTCCTTGTGAATAGGAATAGGAAGCCTAGTCCGAACTACCTAGTCCGTGCCGCGTGTAGCTGCGCGGCACAGAGTCCGCACTAGCGGACATTTAAAAATGGCGGCGCCCGGCAAGATGTAAATGAAGCCCGGGAAATTCAAATCCTGGGCTTCATTTGCAACTCCGGTTGCCTACATTACCACCCTAGTTCGAACTAAGGTGGTAGTGTAGACATACCCTAAGTGTGCATCTCTACCCTAAGAGAGAAGTTGATTTACCCAAACCGCCCCCCCCAAAAAAAACCAAAAACCAAAACAAAACAGAGGGGTTCTGTGCTTATTGTGCCTTAATCATTCCCATTTGATATTTTCAATTAATTTATTTACTTTTTAAAAGGGTTTTCCTAAATTCCAGTCTCGCAGGCTCAGCCAGAAATCTGAAAGTCAAATTAGGTTCTTGTCTGCTAATTCTTTGCCACTAGTAATAAAAACAGGTATCACTATTCTTACAACCAAGGAGTGCTAGATTTGTCCTCATGAAGAGTTTGTTAATATTACAGTTACAGCAAAGAAAGAGTGATATAATGGACTCTCAGAAGTACTAAGCATGCTGCTGTGGCTATGCTCCCAGGTCATTCTAGAGCCTAGAAGCAAGAGACTTGGCCTAGAAATTGATCCAAAGTTTTCTGCGTAAGAGTGTAGAGCACTGACATTAAATAAAGTGTATGATGGATTAGCAAGATGGACATCCTTGAATATACTGGGTTCTAATGTTTTCAAATAAAAGTCTTCTATCAAAAGGGACATGTTTGGTTGAAAAATTATTAATCTCTACCTATATTACAATTTACATTTAGATAATTCCTAGGAATACATGTTTCTGCCCAAGAATCAGATACTTTAAAAGCAAATTATCTTTCTTTAATGTAACAGATACATTGGACCGGGAAACTTGTAATAATTGGACCAGGAAACCTGGTTCTTCACTAAGCTTAGTACCATTCATATGAATGTTCACCCTTGCCTGAATTTTTCAAGTCCTTCCAGTCTTAAACCATATTGCAACAATTTTAAGAAACTCCAGAGAATTATCAACATTTGGGTGGACTAGAGGCAGACATGAAATAAAGTTAGAATTTCAGATCTTTGCCATGCGGGCTGGGCCCTTCACCACATATCAGTCTCAGGCCCCAGACTCTGCTTGCTTGCCCCAGGTCCCCTAGAGTTTGAGAGGCCTGGCAGCTGCCCCTGATCCTAGAACTAGTGGAGTGGGCTGGCCAAGAGTCCTCTAACCTGCCACTTGTGGCGGACTGATTGCTTCAGCCATGGAGCGTGCAGGGCCCCAACCTTCGACTCTCACTATGTAGATATCCCAGTTTCCCAACCCCATGGGGCCACCCTGGACTCCCAACCCTGGACTTCTGCCCACCCTGGACTCCTGCTATGCAGCTGCCCTGGACCCTGGAGGTCACGAGGCTAGCCAGGAGCCCTGGACTCCTGCTATACTGGGTGGACTGGCCTGCTGGGTGGCAATCCAGCTTTGGCCCCACTGTGCCAAGCAGCTGGAAACAGTGGACCCCAGCCTCACCCTCAGCATACAGCTGAGCTGGGGCATGAAGCCCACAGGTTGCAGGAAGAGAACTGCTGCTATAGAGGTTGTTTAAAACCTTTTTCCTATTAGATATTAATAAAATAAACTCAAGGAAATAATTTGTTTTTCACATTTTTAAAAAAGAATATATAATTTATTCATGGGGCAAAATGATTTACAGCATTCCTTTAAAACGAACTGATCATGTTCAAATGGTCTTTTGCTTTTAGGGTTTTTTTAAAAGCCTCCTCGTAGGATGATACCAACTCAGAAGTTTTGCAAAAGAAAGGTCTCCAAACAAGGAAAAGAGAATACTGTATATTTAAAAACTTCTTAACAGGTTTTTCCATGAGACACATTTAAACAACAAAAACACAATAAATAGATCTATTCGAACTAGTGTCTATTATGAGATTCAATTTCTAAAACTTTAAATTATTATAGTTCATATTTGCATATGTTTGAAATACATTCCAGCAACTAAGTATTTGCAAGATTACATGAATACCTGTAATGGGATAGTCCACATAACGCCTTGTTTTTCCATCGTAAAATTCTGTTCCTTTAACAATTACTAAATGAGCTGGAAAATTTACACCCCATGCTAACGTGCTTGTGGCAATAAGAACCTACGAGAGAAAGAAAGGTTAACGTAACAAAGACAACTTTTAAAACCGCATTTAAATCTCATTTTTCTATTACTAAAAGTACAATTTACCTGGATTTTGCAATTTACAAACAGTTCTTCCACAGTTTTTCTGTCTCTTTCATGTAGCCCTGCATGGTGCATGCCTATTCCAAAGGCCAGAGTCAGCTTCAGATTAGAATCTCTTACTGTCACTATAACATCATTCATCTGTAACACAGAGGATGGTTACATGATTTAAATAGTACTAGATATTCTTCTCAGAAGTTTTTAACATTTTAGGGTTCTTGTTATTAATAAATTATCTGTTGTCTATCAGAAACCACAATGTGCTACACCCTGTCTATGCTCACAGAGTTAAACAATTCCTGCTCGGAATAGTTTATAGTCTAAAAAGACAAGAAACATATGAAGGACATAAGAGAGAAATAGTTAAAATGTATAGCGTTTTATAGCCATATTAGTTGAATAATGTATTCATCATCTAATTTTTTAAAACCAAATTTATTATGCATACATTGTAGCTCCGCAGGATTCTCCTAACATGACAGAAAATATACTGCTTTTAAAAAATAAGTTATAAAAATGTCTGAGAATAAAAATACACTTTAAAGAATACTGATATGTTTTTACCTATTTAGAAAATCTAGCTTGGCAAGCAGAGCAAAGCATTTTAAATAATTTTAAAGGTATCTTAGTTACTTTAGCAATTATGGAATTGATGAAAGTAAACAAGAATACAACATTTGCTAAAATACTGTTAAAGTTTTGGCTACTCGTACAATTATCTCATGATACCTAGGTGCTTTTGACTGATTTATTTTATTAGTCTAATGACGTATATTTAATAGTTAATATAAATACACTATACTAGGTTACCATGTTAATACAGAATCCGGGTATCTTTCTCTTCCATAAAAAACAAGGATTAAATTGGTTGATTACAGTGCCTAGAGTCAATCAGAATATTTCTTCAGCAATAATAGTTTTATAATGTTAGCTATTTTAAGCAGAGATCCTGTGCTATTCCTTTTGGTCATGTACTTCTACTGCATAAAATATCCCAAATTCACACTGCTAAGAATTTATTCAGAGTTGTTGTTCTTGCTTTTTGCAATCTGCAGTGGTTATTTTCTTCTTCTCCTGACTTGTATTACAGCAGCGTCCTGTGGTGATGTTAGTCATACCTGCAAAGCGGTGTAATTTACCACAGGAAAACTAAAGAACCCTTAGCAGGAGAGCTGGTGCATGCAGGACTATCCTGTCATTCTAGCAGCAGGGAATCCTAGTTACTTCTAGCGAACTCCCTTACTTTTACATAAATCAATATAATAAACAAAAGTATTTCTACCCATCGGCAGAACTGAGGACTTAAAAGTCTGATGACAATTTATTTCACAGCAGAACTCCTTTTCCTATACCCATTTATTGCATAAGTATTAAATGATCACAATATAATAAGATAATAAGGTAAACAGTATTTTTTACACAGCAAACACCAACATGACATACTATTAGATGCAAAGATTTTACATCATTATACATTTGACTAAAATTAATATATTTGAAAAGAAATATAATCATCCTTCTTACCATTTAAAAAAGGTAACCCTTTTCTTAAATTTAAGTATAGAAGGAACATTATAAATAGAGCAACATGACTATACAAAGATTTGACTGAAATGATGGTATGTGCATATACACTCATTAACACATTAATATTAAACTAATTTAGGGATCAAACCTGTTCCAGGTGAAGTCAAGGGGACTTTTTCTTTGGATTCCAATGAAAGAAGAATTGGGCTCATGCTGGGTAACTTGGGCTTCCTAAGTTTTTGAAATATGAACAGAACCCCTCCCATTCTTCCCCTGAGTGTAGTTTGATGAAGAAGGTCGCTATTAATGAACACCTCTGAAACTGAACTGGAATGTGTAAACATTGCAAAATATTAATTACAAAAAAGATTATAAAATGGAAGAAATAAACTTTTCTCTGGTCATGTTAGATTTCTCTGAAACTATTAAGTAGTCATTTTTTCTGTTCCTGCACATATGTAAACTGTTGAACCATTTACTTTAAGTTAATAGAACTGCTTTTTATATTTTAAAATTTATTATACTTAAAAAGCTTTTGTAGAAAGATAGGATTCCATTTAAGTAGATACATTACCCTGTGCCTGAAATACATTCCAGTCAGAGTATAATTCAGCAAGTTGATGACAATACTGGCTCCAAAAGAAAGGAGGAGACCAGATTGGACAAGAATGAGCTAACAGATTGTGCAGCCCAATTCTGTCCCTTTGAGTGTGATATATTGTTTCAAGATGCTAAAAACCCATACTTTCTCAGAGCATATCTGTTGTGCTGGTTTTCCCATTTTCACAGAATCCTCATTATTAGTACTCTGTACTCTTTTCAAAGCATGTCAGACTCAGACCATATGCCACTGAATAATGCTTATCAATTGTCTAAAATGCCCAATAAAAGAAAGATGTGCCAAACAAAAGAATTGTGAAAGTTATGAAGTCTTTTACAAAAATAATTACATATTTCACATCCGCCACAGATGTTAAATGAAATAAAAACAACTCCTTGTTATAACTAAATGTTAATTTTTATGACACAAAAGTGTGTCATAAAAGCAACTTCTTGTAGAAGGAAGTTACACTTCAGTAACGAAAGAAACATTTAGAGCTCATTCTTGATAACTGCTAAAGACACATAATCAAGTTCTCTTATTAGTATTTTGGCCCAGGTATTCTTATGTGCTAGTATTCCAAAACAAAAACAAGTAATAATCTCCATCCCTGACATCCTTCTCACTTGTGTGTGGCCCCCAACTGATTTTTCTGTAGATCAGTGGACCGCACCACAAATAAGGTTATTTGAGTTAAACGGGAGAGACAGAAAAGCCAAATGGCCTTTTCTCTCTCCCATATTTTTTCATACATATGTATACATACTGCCCCCACAATACACATAATTATCTGTCTCACACTCCCAGTAAATAAATATATATACACCACCCAGTTTCTCTCTTTTGGAATTCAGAGGTCGTTATGGGCCTGACTAAATTCCAATCAAAGTCAATAGGAGGAGTCTTTCTACTGACCATAGTGGGAAGTGGATGTGGCTCTATATGAATTTTATGAAAGATCATGATTTACAGAAGGTATGTTTGGAACTTAGCTGTATCTAGAGGTTTCACACTAAACATTCTTAAAAATACAATACATAAGAACGATGAATACATTATGAGAAACCTATGTGGTTATAGTTCAAATGCTGTACACTGGTAGTTGGTTTGTTCCCTCGTAACAATGAAATATATGAAGAAATTCAAAAGTCTGGCAAGGGAAGGCAGAATAAAATAATAGAAAATATTAAATTAACTTTCTTTTGCTGGGAAAATGCTATCTAATTATAATGTGGCTCAATAATAACAACACATGCCACTTTCTTAATTAGTTTTAATTTTCTATTTTGTCCTTAAGACAAAAAGCAATACAAACATAAGAGAAAAGAAAAAGAGGAATATGAAATTAAGGGGTACAAATTGGTTCTAATAATTTCTGCTGTATGGAGACAGCCTTACTGCTCCACTCCACAGCCAGACTGCCACAGAGGTGAGGACAATTTGGAGGAGAGGGAAAAGATTGGTCTTTCCCACACCTTCCCTCTACCCCCAGGTAGTTGTCTAATCCCACCTCCTCCTTGGTGAGCAATCTATGGTGCCACCAACTCCTACTGTTGTATTTGGTAAATTGGGACCTTAAGATTCTAGCACATTTCAAAATCTCAAAGGTGGGGTCTCTTCTAGTGTAGTTAAAAGGAGTGAATGGTCCATAAGCTTGAACAATTCACTCTTGACTGACAGCTACAAACCAGAGCTAGTGCAGCCAATCTCCGTGGACCCACTGTTAGGTAAATTGAGGGGCATCAGCTGGTAATGGGATAAAGCTCTCAATGTGTCTGTCTAGGGAACAGGCATGGACACTGTCTCAGTGTCTCCCTTGCACTCCAGGCAAGAAAACCCCACAACTGGTCAGTAAGGTCGGGAGCCAGTTTAAGCAGTCTTATGGGGTTTATTAACTGGAAATGGAGCCTAGTATTAGCCCTAATGTAGCATAAAATGGCCATACTGGGTCAGACCAAAGGTCCATCTGCCCTGTTTCCTGACTTCTCACAGTGGCCAATGCTAGGCATCTCAGAGGGAATGAATGGAACAGGCAATCATCAAGGGATCCCTCCCGTCGCCCAATCCCAGCTTCTGGCAAATAGATGGTAGGGACACCATCTCAGCCCATCCTGGTTAATAGGCATTTACGAACCTATCCTCCATGATTTTACCTAGCAGCATGAATGACTTCAGTAAACAACACGAATCCAGGAGTTTTTCTGAGAGTGCTGTTGTATTTTTTAAAGTAAAGTACGATTTTCTATCCATCCGAAGGCAAAATAAAACTACTAACGTCTAGGGTAAAGCTTCAAGATGCCAACTGTTTATATAAATAGATAGTTTATATTTCCTCTACTTAATACTCTCCTGTTAAACTTTACTTGTACCAATTCCAAAATCATTGAAAATAAAACTATTAGTTTGAGAGAAGATACTACAGAAACAACATTTTGCATTATGTAAACAGACTTGGCAGTTATTTTTAAATTATTTTTAAAAAATAATGTTGGTAAAGAATATAAAAACTTGTTTTAAAGGATTTTTCTTTTTTTTTAATGTATTCAGATGTTCACAGTTGTGCAAAATGAATTTTAAACATTATTTTATCATTTTGAGTTTTCATAGTTGTGGGGAATTAGGGTGTGTTATACAAAATTATTTAATGACAGTCAACTCTGACTCAAAAAGTTAAAGCTTTAAAACCATTAAAAAGACAAATTGTCAACATCACATCAAAATATATGAAGTAAGTATTCTTACATCAAATTGTAATAAGTTTTCAAGCAGCATTTTTCTTGTTTCTAATAAAATCTTGGATCAATAACAAGTAAAGGGATCTTGGGGTGGTTAATATTGGTTTTAAACAATATTAATACCCATTTGGACACCTACTTGGGTATTCATAGGATCAGCAGGGATGATGCTATGCAGAGTGGCCAGTCTCCTGCTACAACCTCTCAGCTGTACAGAGCTTTAACAAGGAAGATTTAGTATCACTGAAATGAAGCATAGTGGAAGTCGGACTGAGAGAGTCTGGCTCTCAGAGTCATTGGGGAAGGAAAATGGTATGTGTGTGGGATAACTAGCAGCTTGGAAAGGAGGGGACAGACAGATTGGGCAAGGAGACAGGAAGAGGGAATCACGATAAGATAAGCCTGGAGATTGGGACTTGGAATACAAAGGGGAGAGATAGTGCTGGAAGAAGACTTAACTGGTGAGGCAAAGAAACAAAAACATGGATGGGAAGCCTGAGGAATGGAAATGGAATAGGCCATGAGAGTGACACTGGGACAAGGAGTTGGAAGAAGGAGTACTGAGACAGGGATATGTTGGAGAAATAAAAGAGGATCAAACTTGGGTAGAACAAGCACAAGTTATGTGCCAACTAGAGCACACTCTCTTTCATAGTCTGAAATGGAAATCAAATTCCTGAATCTCAGCAATCCTCTATCAGCAAATAGCTGTGAAACCCAGTGGACCAGTGTATATCCAAGCCCCCTAATGAAGGTGTACACAAGTGTCAGTTTTTTATTGTTATCATTTATTCTGTTGGCTCAATTGGCAGAGGTCTGGGGTGTGTACTTAAAGGTTCCAATTCTGCTGATGATGCATGTGGCTGTCAGTACGATACCACATGATGAAATCTGTTTTTTTTAAAACCAGAGAAATTACACACGAAAATACATTAAAAGAACATTCAGGTTGCTAGATTATGCATCTTAATTTGCCTCTCTCCCTGATTGTGGGATTGCATTACGATTCATTACATGATAACATACTACCTTTTCCATAGACCCTCCTCAAGGGAATGAATCGGAGTCTGCCTCTTGCTGCAAAAGCTGGAAGAAATGTGGTGAATGAAGCAGGGAGGGGATTCAGGAAGACAGAAAATTGTCTCCTGACTAAAGAAGTTGAATGCTGCCTTGGAGTTTCTATCCCTGTCTCTGTCAATGAGTTCCTATGTGAAGGTAAGTCACTTAAATTAAATTTTCACAAGTGCCACAACTAATGTGTTCCTCATTTTCTGGGTGCCCACCTTGACATACTGGGGTCTGATTTGCAGAAGTACTAAGCGCTCAGAGATATAATTTTAAGTCAATGGGCAATGGGCTTTGAATAGGAAAAATATTATTCAATGCTAAGTACTCTGAAAAAATCAGTTCCTAGGCACTCAAAGTAGGCACTCAGAAACTCATTGACAATTTTATGTTAATTTCTCTATGCCTTAGCTCCCATTTGTAAAATTGGGATAATACCACTCCTTTATCCCATACCTGTGTTGTGAAGATAAATTAAATTAATGTTTGCTTGCGAAGCATTCAGCTGCTATAGTGACAAGTGCCATAGAAAAGCCCATGAGAAAATTAATAATCCTGTTTTCAGAACAGGGTTTGAATAGTGTGTAGTAATTAAGGCATGGGGCCATTCATTGAACAATGAGGATACAACAAAATATTGAATGGCTGTTCATTAACTGATCACTATCCATACTGTGCACTGATTGAGGCTGGAGTCCAATGGTACATGTAACTAAGGATAATAACTAAAGATACTAATTAAAACACTGTGTAAAACACACTTTTTTTTCAACGAAAAATCAGAATAGTGTAAATGGCAAAGTGTTAAATTTCACAGAATATGCTTGGAATGAATATAATCTAATTTAGGCTATGTCTAGATTGCAGGCTCTTCTGGAAGAGATTGTCATGGCTCCTTCCTCCCTCTGGCACAATAAATGCAGAAGTGGGGGCCAGCAAGTGTACCCCAAAGCCTTATCTACCAGGCTTTGGTATAAAACTTCCGCCAAAATCTTAAAAACCTAGATTTTGGGACTAAAACTTCCGCTGCCACCACCCAAATATTAATAACGAGATTAGGGGAAATCTCACCCCATTATAAAAATCAGGACACACAAGTAACCAATGCCAGGTTAATAAAAAGAAAAGAGAAAACTTTTAGTATTACAACAATATTCCTGTTGCAAGCATAAGGATCAGATAGAAAGGTAACAAAATATACTTATGGAGGAGTTACACCATGGGCTAGATCTTAGTTAAAAAGAAAAGCCAAACATCTCTTAAGCAGTGCCAGATATCAGATCCCATACTCAACCCTTAAAACAATAAAGCCTAACGAAACTACCTAAACTTTACCCTACTTACAGAAAGTGAAGAATTGTTTCTAGGAGAGAAAGAGAGACATGCTTGTCCCTCCCTGTAGCGGCAGAGGACTCCCCAGACACACAAAAGGAGAAAGGAAAAGACCCAAATTCCTTTGTCCCAGTTTGAAAGTCCCACCTTCATTCCTAGTGGTCACTCCACCTGGCAAGGTGTAGTTAACCCCTTAATCCCCAGGCTGCTGGCTAACCCTCATAATCATGACAGAGATCTTCCAAAAAATCTTCTTCTGAAAGAGTGCATCTACACTGTCATAGCACATCGAAAAAGTGATCTGCTTCTTTGAAAGATAGCGTCCACACCAAATGGACGCTATCTCACATTTAAGCTGTGATTACAATGGGCGGAATGGCCACCACAGCACCTGTGCCTTTTCCTCTTTGCTCTTCTTGCGGAAGAACTCCTTCTTCCCTGTCCACACACGCCGTTTTCCGAAAGAGTTCTTTTGGAAAAAGGCTTCTTCCTCATAGAAAGAGTTTACCAATGTCAGAAAAACCACTCAGTTATTTCGATTTTTTTTCCAAAGAAAGTGATTGCAGTGTGGACACAATTGAAGTTTTTTTCAGAAAAACAGCTGTTTTCCCGGTGCTCAAATGCACGTGCTTAAAGTTAGGCACATGTGCAACTGTTTTCTAGATTGGGCCCTAAAACAGGTCAAGTAAACACTAATGTTATGTTTACTTTCCTTTTAGAGTGATATTGAAAAATGAAACACACATATACAACTAAGACACATTATATTACTGTACCTCTCTTTCATCCATTTTCAGCCATTGCTTTGGATCATCTTCAGTGGCCAAGAAAGCAATCAACTCTAAGGCAGTGAGTCTAGTCTGACGTCTTGATGACACAAACACAAGAACAGGTTTGGCTGGAGAATGGCTCCTAATAGCTGTTATAAAAAGACAAATTCAGAGTGAATCCATCCATGTCAGAAACCAGAATTTCCCATTCAATAGCTATTGTTAGCAACGGAGACTTTTCAACTAAAAGTGCTAAGGATTTAAATCCATTCTTCACTTACATTTTATGTTTATGCATTGACAAGAATTCTAAACCAGAAAGTGACCTTTCCATAATTGCCACAAAACCTAGTCACAGTGAGGTAAAAGAGCTTTAGCTCTGCACTTGAATGACAGGTTCTAAATAGTTAAAATAACCATGTCTTTTTAAACATATTGGCTGGGTCTAGACTGGCCAGTATTTCCGGAAAATCAGCCGCTTTTCCGGAAAAACTTGCCAGCTGTCTACACTGGCTGCTTGAATTTCCGCAAAAGCACTGACTTCCTACTGTAAGAAATCAGTGCTTTTTGTGGAAAAACTATGCTGCTCCCGTTCGGGCAAAAGTCCCTTTTGCACAAAACGGCCAGTGTAGACAGCTGAGATTTGTTTTGCGCAAAAAAGCCCAGATCGCAAAAATGGCGATCGGAGCCTTTTTGCACAAAAGTGCGTCTAGATTGGCCATGGACGCTTTTCTGCAAAAAGTGCTTTTGCGGAAAAGTGTCCGTGCCAATCTAGATGCTCTTTTCCAAAAATGCTTTTAATGGAAAAGTTTTCCATTAAAAGCATTTCCGGCAAATCATGCCAGTCAAGACATAGCCACTGTCTATATTTGAATATTTTCAGATTACAGCAATTCTTTATGATCTTAGAAATGGGGATAATAATGGAAATACTGATACAGCCATGACAATACTCTGTCAAACAAGCTGGAGAAATAAGTCTTCAATACATTGAATTGCTATATGTCTTCTAATAACATGAGCTGCTCGAAGTAAATAAACAGCTTGTATGTATTGCTTCATTTACTTTTACTATGATGTTATATGTATTTGAAATGTTTAAGTATGATTTATTTCATATATAATGTTTCCAGTCTACCAATTAATACTACACATTCATACTTAATTGATGAAAAACAAGTGCGCTACACTACCCATATCTCTATGTATATCATTGTAAAGTTATATAAATACATAGTATAATTTGTATGACTTACAAATATAGATGCCAATAGACCTATTTATTTTAAAGCTCAACATTTAATGGATTTTTGTTGCTTCAGGAACAGGTGTGGCTGAAAAGCCCAAGACAGATTTATTGTTCATTAGTGTTTTTGTACAATACGCCTGTGGAGGTGTAAATAATATGAACTGCCAAAATGGGTCTCTAGTCCACAATCAATACTTTGGTTCTGTCACAAGGCTAATTAGAACAGCTAAAAAGTCACCTCACAACTGTCACCTCCTGATCAACAGCAGTTCACATTACAAAATTTATTTTGGAGGTTATTTTTAATTGATATAATAAATATTCCTTATGTAACAAAAAGAAAACATGTTTCAATAAAATATGAGGGTTTTTCTTAAATGAGTCCTGCCTGCTAGCTTTGACACATGGGTCTAAATTTTATGGTTATTGCTTTGACATTAGAATTATGAGATTAGCTTGACTTGTAACTTCTGTTCACATTTTTTTTTAAATCTTACACAGCGTGATCTTTAACAAAACAGATTAATAGTGTGAATGGTTTTATGACTTTCTAAATCTCAAATATTTTCACAAAACCCTGTTTTCATAGTGCTGACCTCTAAGAAAAAATACATTTTCATTTTAAAAGATTGCTCTTCGTAATTATTATGGTCACTGATTCTGCTCCAAATATAATTACATTCCTCTGATTTATCCTGCCTTAACAACCAGACCTGACGTTTGAGATAAATAGTTTTTGGGTCACCAAGAGAAACATCTCCCCTAAACATTCCAAGAACATATATAAGAGCAGGAGTTCCTAAACTTTTTGACACGGGGACCAGAAAATCAATTCACGAGCTTTTGGAGGACCGGTAACATTCATTTGCATATTCATTAAGCAAATGATGAATCTTCAAATAAGTTGTTTCTGATCCTCTCAAAGCCCCCAGTGCCAGCTTTAGTAAAGCTTTTGATACGGTCACCCACAATATTCTTGCCAGAAAGTTAAGGGAATATGGATTGGAGAAATGGACTGTACGATGGATAGAAATCTGGCTAGACCAGGGTTTCCCAAACTTTTTACTTTAATTGGAACCCGTTTTTTTTCAGTACTGTTTTTTGCAGCCCAAAAATATAAACGCATATAAAAAAGAATAAAAAATGAATAACTGTTCAGTGTTTCACCCGTCTGCATCCTCCACCCAGGTCAGGCCAGGGCTTGGGGGACCCGGCGCCACATGGGTACTCCAGGAGGTGGGAGCAGGAGCAGATTGGGGGTAGGGTATTTGGCTACGAGGGAGGGTGCAAGGAGAGGTAGGGTTGCCAGGTGTCTGGTTTTATACTGGACAGCCTGGTATTTGAGGATTCTATCTGGGAAATAAATTGAGAAAATACCGGACATATAAAATGTCTGGTATTTTCTAATCAGGTAAGTTTTATTATAATTAGGTGTATCAATCCGTAGCCTCGAACTGCCTGCTGGTAGATGTGCTCACGTTGCGAGAGTGTGTCTACCAGCCAGGCAGTTTGCAATTACTCAAGGGAGGGTATGGCAGGGGGGAGGGGGGCAAAATGGAATCCTCGCGGACAGATTCACTTGTGTGCCCGGGTCAGTTCTGCTTCCCGCTGGCCAATTCGCTCCACCTTCTCCTCCCCCCAACTTCTCCTCCCGATCTCCCCTGTCCAGCCCTGCTTCCGGCAGCTGGTTCCCCCTCACCCCCCACAATCTCCCCCTCCCAACCAGCCAATTCTCCCCCGCTTCTCCTCACGATCTCCCCTGGCCAGCCCCGTTTCCAGCAGCTGGTTCTTCCATCCTCCTCCTCCCAATCTCCCTTGGACAGCTGCCTCCCCATCCCCGCTGCCCCTAACCCTGCTTCCCGGAGGCCGGTTTTCCCCACCTCCTCCCAGCCTGCCCCACTCTCCTCCCAGCAGCCACACTGAGGCCTGGTATTTTTTTCCTGGCTGCGGCCCATAGTTTGGGAAATGCTGTATAAGAGCATATGTTATAAATGTGTCTCAAATGGACTATGCAAAAATGGTTAGAAACCCCCACTTTTTTTTTTTGTAAATTGAATGTATGAAATGTCCTGTTTTTGGCAGCTTACCCTGAAATGCAGGTTTATTCATACTAGCCATGCGAGGACAGTAATGCTGGCCAGGGAAGCCCTGAATGTGTACTTCCAATGGAACTGGACGTACAGATGGTCGGAAGTTGAACAGACCCATCTAAAGTGAAAATATAAGCATTTTTAGTTGAAGCTTCAAGTATTTTGGAAATATTACTGGCTGCTTATCTGAAGCACAGATATGTACAACCCTTTTTCAGAAATTTTCCACATACCTGATTAATATTTAGCCAGTCAGCAAGGTCTCTAGCATTCGCTAATGCTGTGGATAAACCAACTACTCTTACAGGCTTTTCTGTGTGAGATGAGATGAAGTTAGTTCGAGACACAATAACTTCCAGTACTGGGCCTCTCTCATCCCCTAAGAAATAAGAGAAATATGCATTAAAATTTAACATGACCATATATTTAGAATTCCATGCAGATCTAATGTGAGAACACTTTTTCAAAATTAGCCACAATTGTGATGAAAAATAATGCTTACCTAGCAGATGGATCTCATCTATGATGAGAATGGCAACTTTCTGAACATAGCTCCTGTTTTGCCAGCTTCTACTGACTCCATCCCACTTCTCTGGTGTAGTTACAATAAGGTCAGCTTGGGCAATAGCTTTCATATCAGGTGTCACATCTCCTGTCAATTCTACTACCCTGTAATTAAGTTAAATGGTCATTGCGACTGGATCCAACTCAATTTTTAAACCAATGAACCTTTCTAATCTTCTGGGGTAGGGTCTCCAAACATTAATCCAATTAATCCAAACATTTACCCATTAATTTGAAAGGGAGAGAAAGAAAAGTTTACATGGATGTTCAAAACTATTAATAACGTTGCAAGACAGAGACTGAGGCAAAAAAGATAATAAACGAATATTACTATGGATAGTACACTTAAGTCAAAACAGTCTTCTATGATCTATATGTTAAGATCTTATATATTTTCTAGTGGTGGAATATTGCCCTGTACAACTTGCCTAGCAGTGATGACTGTCAGAGAGGTTAGTTAGAAGCAACTGCTGCTCTCAATTGTTAGGTTCCATTAGGACTCTGCAACAAAGATAGTCAAGCTCAAACTCCCTGTTTTGATGGCTACCATTGGAAATGGAATGTATTTGTTTTTCTATTCCTGATCCAGTTTTGTTCCCCTCACCTTCTTTCCGAAATCTGCCACTTCCTTTGGTTTTCTGTTTTTTTGGCACTAATTTGGAGTTAATTCTTGTTGTTGGGGGTTAGCTTGCCTTTTCATTAACTTGACATCTATCCAATTTTTCAACACCAGCTTACTGATTTAGGTCAGGCTACCCTTGAGACAGATGGTTCTTTAGACTGAATGTTATCTTTTATTTTGATATTTTTATGGCAACTTCTTTGCCAATTCTACAGCCTAATTTTACACTTCCTAAATTTTGCTACATGGAATTTTTTGGCTACATGGAATTTTTATCTCCCCAAATCAATGTTATAGTCCCATAGATGGGACTAATTTCACATAGAAAAATATTCCTGGATATTAAAAATAAGCTTTCAAAATTGTCAGGATCATTAATTTATTCACAGTCATACCCCATTAAAACAAACCACAAAGAAATACAACAAAATAACTACCTTTTAGGAAGGGTGGATTCTGACATGCTTACACAAGGAACAGTACCTTCTTCAAGGAGTAGATCTATTTACAACCACTGAGGAGTGCATTACTATTCAGCCTGAGCAAGGATTGCGATATCTGGATATAAACAATCCACACTTGGAAGTTGTTGATAATTATGGGTACTTTTAGAAAGGACTAAAACTACTCAGATACTCTTTGTGTCAGCTGCAAAGGGCCCAATCCTGCCGATCCAAAGTATCCCAAATTCCTGATGAAGCCAATGTAAATATATGTACAAAAGTTTTTTTTTACAAAAATGAAGCTTAAAAGATATGTGAAAGGTCATATATGGACACTCTATAGACAGATTAAGCAATTTACGAGAACCAGTAAAAAATCTTTGAAGGAAAGATAATTCTGAACTGTAACTTCAAAAAGACCAAGATAATAAAGACGGAAATTGAACTTATTTGTTAGCTTGTCTGGTTGAACAAAACAAGAAAAATTAGCAATGTATTAAATGATCTTTCAGTTTTGTGTCACCTATTTTTTTCTATGCAGCGTGTGCTTGCTATGATACAGTCAAATTGTACCAATGCTCCACATAAAAAGTCTGAAAGATGAGAAGTATTTGTACAAATAGCAAGACACTATACATATTCAACTGGGTTTGTTCACACTTGCAGGACTGTTCTGGGAGAAACATACTTTTTACCAAGTTTTTCTTCAATCCTGACTTTCCAATCTTCAATTCTCTCTCGTACCAGTGCTTTTAAGGGAGCAATGTATACTGCCTGCAAACACAGACACAAAAGCAGAATTAACTAGAAAAAGCTGTGTAAAAATTTAATTTACAAAGAATAATTTCCTTTTAGACATCTAAGGACTTGAATTAACTTATTAAGTATAAATCATTAAGGCATAATAATTATTAAAATCACATTTAGTAACTTACAACAGGATCCTGATTAAGACAGACATTATACTTTAAAAATTCTTTTGTTCCTTGAGCCAATAATATTCATATAAATTAATGACTAAAAGAATAATTTATAAAACTGTAATGCTATCATTACACCTAAAAAGTAAACACATGAAATCATTATAAAATGAGTTTACATAAAGTACTATCATTTATTGCCAAGAACATAAAACCTGAAAACTAGGATTCTGAAATGCACCAATCCAAACAAAAATAATATAATATCTTGAATGGATTTTAATCTCTTTAATTGTATTACTAAAATTAAATAAAGATCATTATAAAATGTGCTACTTTTAAATAACATCACAAAACTTCCCTAGAGAAACACTTTGTATGCTGATGTATAATAGGATAGTTTTTATAATATTCATTTAAAGATTTAGGCTCAGGTTTTCTAAAGCATTAGCATACATCTGAACATGTAAAAACTAATACATATTTGGGATGTGAATGGGTAATACTGGCAGCCCTGAGGACTGGAGACTGCTCCAGCTGGACTAGAGTGGTCCCCTGCCTGGGACCCCACTTAAACAGTTAACCAGTTAAACCTAAAATTTCACTGGGTTAACTGATTAAATGGGATTTTACACTTTAGAATATCTGGCCTATAAATTTTGAAGACTGCTTTTTAAAGCAAAATTTCTTAATATTCCTTTAATATATACTTATTGTGGTACAAAGGTCCCATATGATAAATTATGGATGTACTTTAGTGTTCTATTTTATCAGTATTTTACTATTTTCTTGTATTCCACTTCAATTATTACCAACAAGTTAAAACACACTTAGGTTGAGATTTCCAAATCACATTTCAGTGGAGGTTTTGTGACTAAATCACATATTTAGAATAGGACTGGAAGAGACTCAAGAGGTTTTCTAGTCCAGTACCCTCTACTCAAGGCAGGACTAAATATTATCAAGACCATCCCTGACAGGTGTTTGTCTAACTTGCTCTTAAAAACTTACAGTGATGGATATTCTACAACCTCCATAGGCCCAGTATTCCAGTTCTTAACTAACTTGATAGATAGGAAGTTTTTCCTAAAATCCAACCTAAACCTAAATCCCTTGATGCAATTTAAGCCCATTACTTATTGTCCAATTCTTAGAGATTAAGAAAAACAATTTTTCTCCCTCTCCGTGACAACCTTTTATGAACTCAAAAACTATTATGTCTTCCCTTTATCTTCTTTTGTCTTTAAACATTTTTTTCCAGTTTTGCCTTATAGGGAATGTTTTCTGGATGTTTAATAATTTTTGTTGCTCTCTTCTGAGCTTTATACAATTTGTTCACATCTTTCCTGAAATGTAGTACCAAGAATTGGGCATAATGCTCATGCAGAGTAGAGCAGAAGAATTGCTTTTCAGATGTTGCTAA